TTGATGTTCTGAAAATAAAACAAATTAATTAGATGAGCTTTGATAAGACAGTATTGATCGGTAACTGCCGGGACGCCGGCCACATTTCCCTCCTTTTTCTGTCCAACTCCGGCCAACAGAATAAATACAAAATTGCATCGCAAATAATTTCTGACACTTGGAATACACAACCCACCAAATGATGCATTCCAACTAGTTCATTATGATATTAATATTGCACAAAGCGACAATATCTCCCCGATGAACTGCGGCGCCTAAATGCTGAGTGGATTTTTTCTGCTTGTTTTATTTGTTAATGGATCTGACTGAACCCACTGGGGTGACAAAATGCACTTGGATTTATTTTTGATTGACTTTTGCTTTTAACGGCTGGGAGCTTACAGGAAAAATCATAAATCAATTTTTCTTCTTTATTGGTTCTGTGAGGCTACATAATTAGAGTTATCAAGATTTTCTGCTGCATTTCTCCAAAATTTCTTACTAAGTTTCAAACTTTGGGCCAAAGGTGTCCAAAATATGTTGTTCTACTTTTTTAACAAAAAGCCAAGCATGCAATACTTCAACTAAAATGTGCAGTTTTCAGATTTGTTGTTAGAAAAGCAGAAATTTAATTATAGATGAAAAATTTTTTTAAAAGAGTTCTGCAAGTTCAGTTTATTAAAAGTAATTTTGCAGTTTAGTCCATCAGTAAAATCAGGTTGTTTTTTTAATGCTTGCTGTGATCAGCCAACTTTATGAAATTGATTAAGTCACTTCGAGAAAATGGAAAAAGTGTAATTATTCAGAAATAAATTGTGATATTTTCAATATTTTCTACTGTAGAAAGATTTTCATCTGTGATAATTTTGTCCTGATTAAAAATATAAGGTCTCCATTCTCTGGGGCCCCAGTTTGTATAATTCTTGAACTGAAGTCGGGGGCCGCAAATGTTCAGCCCCAGGGCCACAAATGGCCCCCGAACCAAACGTTGGACACCTATGTCTTTGTTAGCATTTTCTCTTTCTGATCATTCAGGTTGGGTTTTACTGCCAGATGTGAAAGTTTGTGTGAAAACTTTCCACTTATGCAGAATTAATTTTATTAGATGCAAATTAAAGCATCAAATTTTTCAGAAACAAAAGTTTCTAGTTTACATCGTCGTTTGACTTGATTATTGCTCCACTTCCTCAAACTTTTCACTTTTTTTTTTTTTTACTAATTAATCCGATCATTTTGATCGGAAATGAAAAGTCAACTGAGTTTCAAATGTTTTTCTTAAAAATAATGACAATTTAACCGCAACTGAATGTCAAACATCTGAATTTGCCACTTGTTGTTTTTTGTGAACAAACTCAAACATTTTATCTGCTCATTTTTACTAATCATTATTTATTTTATGTTGTTTATAAGGACAGTTTTTTTAGTTTACTGAAACTGCAAAATCATCATTTGTTATCAGGGTATAAATTTAACTACATCACATTGTATGTTTTATTACTATCTAAGGCAATAAAGGAAAAAACAAGTGATTTCTGTTCAAGTGGGTTTATTTGTCTTTTGGAATAAAGAAAAGCTTCGTTCACTGGGATCTGAACAGAGAATAAGTTTTTATTTGTCATATTTTATTAGGTTTGTTGTGAATCAAACTGGATTTTATTAAAAATAGTCACTGAGTTTCTGCATCATTGTAGTTCCGGTTCCCGCCAGTAGATGGCACTGCAGGCGCTCACTGAAACGTGCAGCAGAGGAGTCTGGGTAAAACCTGCAGCGCACACACTGCTCGGCTGGTTTGTGTTTGTCAGGATTATGTTTTTTTTTGTCCCCTGTTGGTAAAATGACTGGAAGGAGAATCAAGATGCTTGTTTTGATTTAATATTTAAAGCTTCAGCTCCGAGTTCGGCTTCAGAAAACAAGCTGAGAGAAAAACGGTTTTGTGTTTCTGAAGGTAGTTTTGCTCAAATAAACGCTAAAACTGTGAATAAAATAAAACAAGAAATAAAACATTCGGTTAAGAGGTCATTTCAGCAAACAGCTTTAAATGATGTCATGAGGTTGCTATGGAAACAGAGTTGGCAAACTGGAATATCCATCCATCCATCCATCAGTTCATCCATCCATCCATCCATCCATCCATCCATCCATCCATCCATCCATCCATCATCCATCCATCCACCCATCCATCCATCATCCATCCATCCATCATCCATCAGTTCATCCATCCATCCATCCATCCATCCATCCATCCATCCATCCATCCATCCATCCATCCATCCATCCATCATCCATCAGTTCATCCATCCATCCATCCATCCATCCATCCATCCATCCATCCATCCATCATCCATCCATCCACCCATCCATCCATCCATCAGTTCATCCACCCATCCATCCATCCATCCATCCATCAGTTCATCCATCCATCCATCATCCATCCATCCACCCATCCATCCATCATCCATCCATCCATCATCCATCAGTTCATCCATCCATCCATCCATCCATCCATCCATCCATCCATCCATCCACCCATCCATCCATCCATCCATCCATCCATCCATCCATCCATCCATCCATCCATCAGTTCATCCATCCATCCATCCATCCATCCATCCATCCATCCATCCATCATCCATCCATCCACCCATCCATCCATCCATCAGTTCATCCACCCATCCATCCATCCATCCATCCATCAGTTCATCCATCCATCCATCCACCCATCCATCCACCCATCCATCAGTTCATCCATCCATCCACCCATCCATCCATCCATCCATCCATCCATCCATCCATCCATCCATCATCCATCAGTTCATCCATCCATCCATCATCCATCCATCCACCCATCCATCCATCCATCCATCCATCCACCCATCCATCCATCAGTTCATCCATCCATCCATCCATCCATCCATCCATCCATCCATCCATCATCCACCCATCCATCCATCATCCACCCATCCATCCATCATCCATCCATCCACCCATCCATCCATGATCCATCCATCCATCCATCCATCCATCCATCCATCCATCCATTATCCATCCATCCATCCATCCATCCATCAGTTCATCCATCCATCCATCCATCCATCAGTTCATTCATCCATCCATCCATCCATCCATCCATCCATCCATCCATCCATCCATCCATCCATCCATCAGTTCATCCATCCATCCATCCATCCATCCATCCATCAGTTCATCCATCAGTTCATCCATCCATCCATCCATCCATCCATCCATCAGTTCATCCATCCATCAGTTCATCCATCCATCCAGTCACCAGCAACCTACAAAAATTTTCAAAAGTTTTGTGATTTTTTTCTTGACAGTTTTATCCATTAATTAATATAATTGATTAATCATGTAGATCCATTGATCAATAGGTTGCCAACCAGTTTGCAAAATCGATTAAAGTTGATTTGTGGAATATGAGTAATTTTCAACACTAAAAACAGGTTTTGGTTACTTTTACTGTATTTTCCATCAGCCGAAACTGAATCTAACTGTAGACAGAAAAAAGTTTCTGCCAGAAAATCTGACATTTTAAGATCCATCTCAAATATTTTGAAATTAAAAACAGGAAGATTTAGGAGTTTAAAAAATAAAACTTTCAGAGACGTTTTGGCAGAAATTTCCTTCTGCTGTTTTTCTTGCTCTAAAATTTGCTGTTGTCGTTTTCAGCCAGTTTAAAAATGATTTAAAAGCGGATTTTGGTGCAAATGGCTCCCAGGAATCCTCGTTAGCTCATAACGGGCCCCTCGCTGGCAGCTCTGCATCCACTGTTGCATTTTTCAAAAGCTTCTGTCGTTCGGGTTCCGGCCATATTTAAACAAAAACCTGCAGCCCGAACTGGGAGCTCTCCTGTGTGAAAAAGAGAACCAGGAAGACGATGTCCAACCCGAAAGACGAGCTCTTCAAGCTGCTGCTCCTCCCCAGCGAGGAGGACGAGCCGGGCGGCGATGGCGCCGCCTCGCCCAGGAGCAACCTGCGCCTGCAGGCTGGCGCACGGGAGACCGGCTTCAAACTGCCAACCAAAACCCGGCGCCCGGCCGAACTGGGCCCGGTGCTCATCAACAACTGGGTCACTAGCAGACCGAGCTCGTCCAGGAAAACGGCTTCTGGCCGAACAAGACGCGAGTAAGTAAGTACCTGCGGGAGCGCCGGGCCGCCGTGGTTAGAATGTGGCCTAATCAAATCCGCTTGGTTTCCAGAAGCTGCCAGGAGGCGGACGACGGCGGCGACATCTACCCGACCGGCCGCTTGCCTCGGAGCTTCATCCTGAGCAAATCCATCCGCCAAGCCTTCAAGCTCTGACGCCTCAGGAAATAAAACTGCTTGGATCCAAACATTTCAGGCTGGTTGTGTTGAAACGTAGCAGAGAAGCTTTACAAATCTGAGGCTCGGGGGCCAACGCAGGCCGCGCAGCGGAGTTTCTGCGGCCGTGAACGAAACTAATTTGTCCCGTCAGCAAAGGAGGATGAAGCAGAGGGAGAATTATTTTCTTCAATTTTAGAACGAAGGTATGGGCTAAAAATTAAAATCTTTGCATAAATGTTAGTTATTAGGACATGATAGTAAACTAAGAAATGTTTTATTATAAATCATAACATTACATGAATGAAGTCATACTGGAAGAAAGTCAAATAATATGAGAATAAAGTTATAAAATTATCAGAATAAAATAATAACATTACATGTATTTTATATTCTCTTAATATTAGAATAACGTCAAAAATAAATAAAGTAAAATTTTGGAGAAAAAGTCAATTGAAACTAGTCAATATAGTGAATCATAAAGATTTAAGAACTTTATGAAACAAAGTAATTTTACATTTATCTGCTTTTAAATACATAAAGTGTTTTCAAATAGAGGAAGACCTGATTTATGTTTTTATTTCTAAGAATTGATTAAATCTTCAATTTTATTCAATCAAATCCAAAATAGATGAAGTTTAGTAACTACAATGGTTTCCACATTTCTACATTTTATTTGTTTAAAGTATTTCATGGTTGGTTTATTGAATATCAATGAACCTTTTGGTATTTTAAACCCTCCGAAGAAACCAAACGTCTTCATACCAGCGTTTCTGTGTGAGATGCAGAGCCGGTGCCGCTGGTCCAGTTCTGATGCGTGTTTGCTCTCTGCCAGCTCGGATCCATCTCGTTAAGCAGTCACACCTCCCAGAAGGCCGCGCTCTGCCCGCTCGCTGTTTGCCCGATAATTAGAGCCGCAGGCCCGGATGAAGCCGACTTTGTTTTTTACAGCCTGGCTGTGAATATGAAGGTTCTGCTGGTGTCCCGCTGCGCTGATCTGATCGGACTTAACAGAACCTGTCAGCTTCAGACACAACAGGAAGCAATTCGGTGATCAACAGGAATCTGCTTCTTCAGACACATTCCTGCAGGAAATTACGCTTTTTGAACCAAAACTCTTACAACTGGAAGTAAGATTACGCAGACGACGCTGAGCTTTACGTCTGAGAACTGAAACAAAACTGAAGTTTTTATCTTTGGACCCAAAGATCTAGAGTTAGCGAACAGATTCAGTTACTACAGCGAGAAAGTAGAGATCACTGACTCCATGGTTACTGTACCATTAATGCAGAAATGTGGGTTTAATGAAAATGTATTTAAAACCTGTTTAAAGGTTGTTTCCAAAGGTGTTTTTAATCCAACAGAAACTGAACAGATGCGTTCACTCGGAGGCTGAATTACGCCCAGGTGGACCAATCAGGCGCCTAATGAGGGAGGAAATCCCATCGCTTCTTGATTTCATACCTGCCTCTGTTGTTTCACCTTCACCATCCTGGTTCTCCTTTTCTCTGGTAAATATTTCTGCAGCTCTTCGTCTTCATTATTGCTCAGCTGCCAGTGGGATTTCTATCCTCTTCTTCCTTAAATTGATGCAAAACGAAGCTAAATTCACTGCATGAACGGGAGGAAATTGTCTGGAAATCAGAAGCAAATCAAGGTCAAAGTTCACTGTTATGATTCAGAACTTTACAGCAGTTCGGAATGTCACTGTTTAATTTTATAACTAATTTGAATCAAAAATAAAACATTTTGCTGAGCATCACCTGTACCTAAACACACATTGCCATGGAGACCGCCTCCTGGTTTCCTGTTGCCCTCAGGCAAAATATTCACTTCATCATTACAGTGTTTTATTGCTTCTGGGCTACAGTTACAATTTTAGAAAGTTAATCTGCAAAAAAAAAGTGAATTTGCAGTTTAGTTGCTCTGTATTTCCTTGTAATAGATGATGCTCTCGTTTAGCTCTCTGCCTCTTAAATTCAGTTTATTATTCAGATTAGTTTGAAAAAGTCTCAAACTAACTCGGTGCAACCTGCTAAGGTTCTTAAATAGAAAACTTCATAACTAATTTGAATCATAAACTGAACTTGGCGCCTTTTTGCAGTAGACTTGAAATCTGCCTGTATAATTGGATTGAAATGAACTTTTTTAGTAAAGTGCTTTGAGCCATTTGCTGTGATATGAATGAACTGAATTGTATCTCTATGATCTCTCTCTGTTTGTTTGCCACCAGCGATATTTAAATCTCTTCATTTCTCAGGTAACGTAGTGGGAAGCTCGCTGCAGGAATCAGCTCAGCGGTTCTTTCAGCTGCCGTTTGAAGCTCAAACATGGCGAACCGTTGAGGCGAACGCGCCTGTTTGGATTCCTAATTCTGCAGCTTTAGTTCAGTGTGAAAGATGAAATCATCATCTGATCCTCTGCAGGTTTACAAAACAGATAAATGCGACTTCAGATGAGCAAGACGCAGAAACTGTCAAAAAAACAAACGCACTCAAGAAAAAGTAGGGAAATTAAGTCACCAATAAATTACGCAAGTAAGAGTAATTTTTGCCTGTGAGCTGCTGGTAACTATAATTTCCTGAGGGAGTCTTCCCAAGGGATCAATAAAGTCAAGTCTAAGTCTAAGTCTAAAAAGTGTTTGATTAAACTGATAATGAAATAGAGTAACTGCATATTCGTAACACCTGAAGTAACATTTATAAATGTAAGTTTATGTAAATTCTGGTATTTCAGAGACAAAATAATATAAAGAAACATTTTAAAAACTACGACAGAGGATTTAAATCAAATACAAGAATAAAATCATAAAATTAAGAGAACAAAGTTGAAATAAAGACATTATGTTTACTTTATTATTGTAATATTATGACTTTTCTTACAATAAAATTAAATTACAAGACTAAAGTCAAAAGTATTATAAGAATATAGTTAAAATAAAATCAGAAGACAAGATATTTAGAGAATAAAGTCACTATAAGAATCACATTTTAAGAGATTTAAGTCATAATATTACAACTTTATCCTTGTATTATTTTGACTTTAATCTCTTACGACTTTATTTTAGAAATATTATGGCTTCATTATACTGTTAATTAAACTTTAGTAATTTTATGATTTCATTCTTGTAGGGCTGTTGTAAACAAATATATTAGTAACTGAGTAATCTATCGATTATTCGAGTAATCAGATAAAAGAACATTTATGAAATAAAATATTTCATAACAGCAGTGTAACTATTAGATATCAAAATCAGTCCAATTTTTCATATTTGTTGTAATTTAGAAAATTAACCTGTAGCAATAATTAACCTGTTAAGACGGCCGAACAAACCGAATATATCGGATGCGCCTGCCGTTGGTTCAGACCGGGATGACGTCGTTAACTGTAAGCCTGGGCCGCCCGCCATGTTGAATCTGTTTCCCGCCTGTTCAACCCTCCCGCTGCTCTTCCCGCCCGTCGCTCTGGACCAGCAGCTCCGGAGGGGAAAAGCTGCCGGACTCCCGGCAGTGGCCGTCATTTCAAGGCTGGATGTCAAAACCATGAAAACCCGGGAATTATCACCACTCAGTAGAATCCCCACGGGACGTTATGCTGCTAGCACTTACTTCCGTCAGCAACTCAGAGGCGGAAGTGAGAGCTCCGCGCAACGCTGATAATGTTCCGGCCGGAACACGGCGCTAAATAATAAAAACATAAACTAACGAAGCTCCGAGGCGGATCGTGGTACTGCAATCATTTGAGGAATCGTTCCAGCCCTGCAATCTTGTAATTTTTTATTTTACATTTTTAAAATATTTTTTATATTTACAAATATGCATATAATGATGAATGATATTTTGCTTATGTTCGCTTGACGTCCGAAAACCTCAGCAGACAGAAAACAGCATTGGAACAAAGATAGCCTATAAACAAGAGGTCTCACTTCTGCATAAACTGATGAAAACAAATTTTTTCCTTTAAAATTTGTTTTTTCTTCATTCGCCGAAGCTACTCATAGAATATCCAGAAACTTAAAGTACATTTTTCAAAAAAAAAAAAAGAAACAATTACTCAAGTGAATGTAATTGAGTAAAGGGAACCAGTAACCACCAGATCCAGACCTGCTGCTTAAACTCCTTCCCTCCATCTACAGGCCGTAGGCATCCAGTCTGACCGTTTCCCGCTCAGCGTGACTTCCCAGAATCCCCTGTGGCGTGAGAAGAGAAGCAGCTCTGGTTTCTGATTGCACCGCTTGGAGGTAAAGATCTGACACTGATCACTTCCTGCTGTGCTCTCACCTTCATCCTCCCCACTTTACTCTGCCTCCTCCATTTTCTCCTTCACAATGTTTTCGTTTTGAAGGTTGGACAAACTATAGACCTTCTAATGCATCAAAGTTCACACATTAAATCTGCAGTACGTAACTATATTGTGACGGTATAATACGAGACAGATAATCTCTGAAAAAAATTATTCTCCTCCATATGCTCCTTGATTTACTGCTGAAGAAATGAACCAGAATCAACCAAAAAGAGCCAAGAGGCGGGTCTTAATGCTGTCAATCAACCCTATGAACAGCCAGAGGGATAAAATCACAAAATGCTTCACGAAACATGTTGGAAAAGCAAATCAAACATAACATGAAATTAAATTAAAAGCCTGTGTGCACAAATAAGATTTTAACTGCATTTTAAAATAATGTGTGGATGCAATGTGAAAAACAATGGGAAAGAATTCGGAGAGCAACAGCTTGAAACAACCAATCTCTTTTCTATGGTTTCCAGCATTTAAAATGTAATTTTCTATGGTTTTCATTTGATTTTGCGGGTGGAACAATCCCCAGTAAATGGACAGATTTTCCTCTCTTCTACTGCAGAGGATTAAAGATCATCAAGGTCCGAATCACTGTAAAGGAATCCAGGTAAACAACCTCTGTCAGGTGAACCTCTGTCAATGTTTCCTGTTTTTCCTGCCAGTCATTTCTTTACAGTCAGAACTGCTCAAAACTTGTTACAGTAAAAATTGTTTAGTTTTTCCTGGGTTGTGATTTTCATTCTGTGCAGACGGAGCTATAGTGGAACGCTTTAGCTCAAAGCTGAATCGTGTTGAAGTGGCTTAGTCAAAGTCTGGACATGAATCAAAGTGAGAATATGTTGTAAAATTGTTATTTTGAAGAATCAGTGAAAAATTCAGTGTTTAGATTTGGAAAGTCCTTCAGCTTGAACTGCAGAAAAATATTTTTGAAAAAGTTTCTCTCAGGAAGGTTGAATATAAATGCACACCACACTTTTCAGTTCTTCCCTTGTGAAATTGCTATGAAAGTTGATTTTTACACACTTTTAGCTGCAAACAGACGCATTTACAAATCCAGGAAGGATTTCTATTGGAGTTTCTCTTTCTCTCTAAATGTCAGGTTTTAATCTGTATTTCCTCATAAATCATGTGGTTTCCTGTGTCAGGTTGTGGTTGGTATGCACACAGGTGTCTCCTCTGGCGGCGAAGGGCGACCAGAATACAAATACTTCTTAATTAAGGGCTAATTTCCCGCTCCATTGATTCCAGCTCCCACGTTGCTGCGCCGCTCCGCTCGGAGGAACAATGAGCACACAGGCTGAACCCCCAAAGTACATACATGTGGATCTGGCTGCAGGCGTTTCTTTTTATTATTATTATTATTTCTCTCCTGAAACCAGGATTTTTTTAGGTTTCATGGATTTGTTGTGGAGGTGAGTCAGAAAGGAGGACGGTTACAGAAACTCAGGATATCAATGAGGAGCGAAGACGCCTCGGGTTTATCAGCGGCTCGATGGTAACGGATCATAAATGCTTCATTATATTTACATCTGAGTTTCAAATTCTAATAAATAATAAATAAAGACAAAGATGATGGAAACAGGTGTAAATAGGTTCAAACAACAACAGAGTTTTAGGGGCATACTAAACAAATTAAACAATTAAGAAACAAATTATGAGAATAAACTCATCTATATGACCGTGGCTGAGTTGACTGACACCAAATTTGTTTGATGTGAAGAAGGTCGGAGGTTGACCTTTAACGACCTCTGCAAACATTCATTAATATCTTCACAGTGATTGCGGCACATTGGAAAGTTTTTGCTGCATAACATTTGAAATAAAAGGCGGCACAAAAATATTTTGCGGCACAAACCGGCACAAACGTAGTCGGGTTTTATGACACCTGCTCAGGTCTCATTCTGTTTTGAAGAATGAGGGGGTGGGGAGGGCTGTTGACCTTTCATGACCTCTGGAAACATTAATTTATATTAAAACGAGTGCAGCACAAACTAAAATTTGTGCTGCAGAAATATAGCAGAAATGCTTAACAACAATTTAGCTAGATTTGGTTAAAGTGGGGAGTCTGGTTGACCTTTTGACCTTTAAACTTTCAACAATGTCTTCGAAACAAGCAGGACAAACTGATTTTTGCTGCACAAATGGATTGACGCCAAATTTGTTTGAAGATGGTGTGGAGTTGAGAGGTTAATAAAAGTTGTACATTAAATTTGTACAATGATTCACTTGCACTTTATAATATTGGATTTAATTTAGAAGTGAAGTAAAACTCTTCTGCTGCTTTTAAAGTAAAACATTTAATCACCAGAATCACTTCACAGTGGTGAAAGTTTGCAGGTTTATTAATCGTTGAGCTGCAGAACAGCGTCTCATCTCATCTTCATGTGTTTATGTGAAAATCCTTGAAAAACAACAGATGGAGATTATTCACAGGAAGGCGAAGCGTTGTCGGCGGGTCGGCGGCCTCTCGCCCACGTTCTGCGGCTCAAACGTTTCAAACACTTTCAGACTGAAATAACTGATGAAAAGTGGGATTCCCAAAGTTGGAGAATGACAAGTTTAGCTTTCAGTCCTGATTCTTCAGCGTCTGAGAACCAAAACAAGCCAAACTTCTCCATTTAAGCCGACGACCCTCTCAGGTCTCATTTATCACAGCTTGTTGTGCTGCAGCAGAGAAAGCAATTCTTTAAAACTTCCCCATCCTGGCAGGTTACAGCTCCATCACTTAGCGGCTGTCTGCCTGGACGCCAGGCCCCCCGCCTGCTGCACCAATCAGCCTGCTGTCCGTAACTGGATGCCACTCAGGGTGAAAGCGCCGCCTGGCTTTAGGAAAACACTCCATTTAACTCGCTTCGCTTCATGTTTACTCTGATTTTTAATCTGGGGCTTCAGCACAATCAGACCAAACAAATCAAACAGGATCTAAAATCCGTCTTTTCAGCCTGTTTATGCATCAAAAAAAGTCTGAGATTTACGGCTATTTGTTGACTTGGTGTTTATTCAATCATCTCAAAATGTTTGAGGTTTTATTGATTGATTCTAGTTTGATTATTATTTTGTTCTTTAGTCTCTTTCTTGTTCCTGCTTTAGTTTGGTCTTTCCTAGTGATTCTAGTTTATTATGTTTATTTGTTGGGTCTAATTTTATTATGTTCCTTATGTCTCGTCGTATTTTACTGTTAGATTCATTTATTAGACCCCTGTATGCTCTCGCTCGCCCCGTGCCACTTTCTCTCTTCTCACATCTCCAACCTGTTTCTATTAATTGGTCTAATTAGTCATTTGTTCTGTGTTGTGAGAATCCAGCTCCCCAGGATAAAAACTAAACGTTGATCCTATGTGATGTCCCACTGTCTGGTTTTCCTGGATTTCTGTTTTTTGTTCTCCTCTGGCTCTCTGTGCTCCCTTCTTCTTCTTTTCCCGCCTCAGTCTTTCTGCTTTTGGCTCACCTTCAGTTAACATAAATCATGACAAAAATGAAATAAATAAGTTATCTAATTCCCTTTTTTCTGAACAATACAATACAATATTTATTCTTATTCTAACATTGAAACACTGTACAACAAAATTTGGGTGAAATCCCCAGATAAAGACAATGTTTCACTTGAAGAAACTGTTTACCAGATTTTACTACTGGCGGAGACGACAAAGAAGACGACAGTATTCACATGTGAATTTAATTGCGTTTCTTATTTAACTGGAACACCGCAGTTGTGATATTGTGTTTGCGCAGTATCACAATGAAAACCCAACTGAAATCAGCATAAATAGACTGAAATATTTTAGATTTTTCTATATTTAGGCATCAAAAGAAAAGGTGAATAAAAGTCTAGTAATTATTTATGCATTTTGTTCGTCCAGCTGCAAACAGGAAGTGCTAATCCCATGAATATAATGAAGAAAACATCTTGTGTTTTGTTTTCTTGCTGGTAAGTTATTTAATGTTGCTTTCTTCAGGGTTTTATTTGTTCGTTTGTCACCTTAAGCCCAGGGGAAAGCTCCTCCATCGCTGGGGATGTTCAGTATCTGCGCCGGTGACACGCTTCCTGTCGAGGAATCTGCCCTGGAGTCACTTTCCTTTCATGTTTCTTATCATCTCCTACTTTTCCAGCCAGATCACGACGCAACACGTCAAGCTTATCGCCACCTTCCCCATCTCAGATGTGTTTATCCGACTCCCCACACCTTAAAGTGGCTTTGTGCTGCTCAGATTTATCTCAAATTAAACTTCTTATCTTGCTGCACACATAACACTGCAGGAATAGTGGAGAATGTGTCACATATTACAGCTGTCAGCTTTATCTCACTGCAAAAA